ACCGACGACTTGTGGCTAAACTGAACTACCTAACCATTACTAGACTAGACATCTCATTTGCGGTTAGTGTGGTAAGCCAGTTCATGCAAAAACATCTGATTCCTCATTGGAATGCATTTCTGAGAATTGTGAGATATTTAAAAGGGGCTCCGGGTTGCGGTCTGATATACAAGAGTGGCGGAAAACTTGAAATAGAAGGGTATTCTGATGCTGACTGGGCCGGTTCTATGTCTGATTGGCGGTCTACTACAGGCTATTGCACTTTCCTGGGAGGTAACTTGGTGACATGGAAAAGTAAGAAGCAGACGGTTGTGGCAAGAAGTAGTGCAGAAGCAGAATATAGGGCTATGGCGCACACCGCTTGTGAATTAGTGTGGCTTAGGAACCTTCTACAGGAAGTAGGGTACAACATCAACACTCCAATGAAGATCTATTGTGATAATCAGGCTGCAGTTCGTATTTCCTCTAATCCGGTGTTTCATGAAAGAACCAAGCACATTGAAGTTGACTACCACTTTGTGAGGGAGAAGGTGCTGAATGGAGAGCTAGACACTACACATGTTAATACMGGAAACCAGTGGGCTGACTTATTTACAAAAGGCTTGAGTCGGGGAAGAGTGGACTACATATGTAACAAGCTGGGAGTGTATCATATACTCCCAGCTTGAGGGGGAGTGTTAGCGTAGGGGTATTTCTGTCTTTATACCTAGATTAATGTTGCTGATCTGTAATGTTGTGTTGGAANGCGTAGGGGTATTTCTGTCTTTATACCTAGATTAATGTTGCTGATCTGTAATGTTGTGTTGGAATCAGTGCTCCTCACTTAAATAAGGGCACATATGTCTTTTCAATTAKTTTTAATAATATAAGTACTRTYTGGCCRACTGGGAGAAGGTTATGTTGACACTTCCAGTTCGAACAAGATTTTCTTCCTTCTCTCTTTCTTCTCCACCTTTCTACTTCTTTCTATATTACCGATCTCAGACATACAGAATTCCAAGGCAGGCCGAATCATCACAGAATGAAAAAGGGACAATCAAGGAAAAATGAGTACAAGGACAAACTGTGGTGCACTCACTGCCAAAAGCCTAGACACACTCAGGAGACTTGTTGGGAGTTAGTGGGGAAGCCCAAGTGGGCAACCAAGAATCAAGACACTTGAAAGAAGCCTTCTTAGAAGAAATTTACTTCTGCAAATCTGGCTGCACAAGATTACCTCTCAAACAATTTGACTACTGGAATTTCCCAAGAGCATCCTAGTGGTTCTGATCCCAAGGAAGACATCATTGACTCCTTCATAGATCATTTGGAATTGTATGGTAGGACTCTTGGATAGATGGATAGGTCGTCTCCTACCCTTTCTACTTCATTTTCTTCTAGATCAGGTAAAGGTGCTTCTACATTTCATGTGTGTACCTCTGCAATCGAGTCACCTTGGATCATTGACTCGGGGGCATCAAACCATATGACTGGTAAGTCAAATTTATTTCAGACCTACACTCTTCTCTCTTGAAGTTGCTTGTAGTATGATGCTTCACATGAATGTTCCAAAACGATTTTGGGTTGATGCTGTAATGGCTACAACTTATGTTATTAATCGTATGCCTTCACACCTCTTGCAATACAAGGCCCCACATCAACTTCTTTTTCCTCAGTCCCCTTTATTTTCTATTTCTCTATGTGTGTTTGGTTGTAAGTGTTTTGTTCATGACCTATCTCCTAATCGGGGTAAGTTGGACCCAAAGTCGGTTCCATGTGTTTTTTGGGTTATCCATCTTACCAGAAGGGCTATAAATGCTTTAATCCTGTCATACATAAGTACTTTGTATCGATGGATGTGTTCTTTTTTGAATCTGAATCCTTCTTCCAAGCCTCTCCCCAGGGGGAGAATAGTGTGGAGGAGGAGAGGCAAGCTCCTCAAGTTACTCCTCAAGTTTCTCTTCCCTCTATTCTTGACTCCTCTCCATTCCGTGTCTTCTTGAGGCGCTGTAAGGGACAGCTGAATTCAAAGGCTGTGGAGCAGCTAGAGACTATAATCTGACACCATTTGACTCCTTGAAGGAAAATCCAGGTACTCTTGTTCCCCTTGACATTACTAGGCCTATTGCTATTGATGATTCTACCAATGATCTTGATGTCCCAATTGCTCATAAGAAAGGAGTTAGATCATGTACTATTGCTCAGTTCTTGTCCTATGAAAACATCACACCCTCATTTCGTGCATTTCTAACTGCCATTGATTGCGTTTCCATTCCCAAAAATGTTGCAGAAGCCTTATCTATACCTGAATGGACAGATGCAATGAAGGAAGAAATTTGTGCTCTACACAAAAAACAACACCTGGGAGTTGGTGAATCTTTCTGAAGGCAAGGAGCCAGTGGGGTGCAAGTGGGCATTCACAGCAAAGCACAGAGTAGATGGGTCGGTTGGGAGGTATAAGGCTAGGTTACTTGCAAAAGGGTATACACAGGTGTATGGGGTCGACTATGCAGAAACATTTGCCCCAGTTGCTAAAATGAACACTATTCGGATTATGCTATCCTTGGCTGTTAACTTTGATTGGGAACTCCACCAATTGGACATAAAAAATGCATTCTTGAATGGGGATCTAGAAGAAGAAGTATACATGATTCAACCTCTTGGGTTTGTAGCACAAGGGTGTGAAGCGAAAGTTTGCAAACTTAAGAAATCTTTATATGGTTTGAAACAATCCCCAAGGGCCTGGTTTAGCAGATTTCACTTGGCTCTTCAACAAATTGGGTACAAGCAGTGCCAATTTGACCATACTCTGTTTGTCAAAAGAAACCAGAAGAATGTTGTGGTATTGATTGTCTACGTTGATGACATTGTGATTATAGGGATTTGGGACTCTGAGATTCAAAAAGTTAAAGAATTCGTTGCTGTGCAGTTTGAGGTTGCCTGCTCTAAAACGGGCATCTTCATTTCTCAAGGGAAATATGTCCTAGATCTCTTGCAAGACGGGAAAGTTAGGAGCAAAGCCTGTAGATTCCCCTATTGATGAAAACCATCGGCTTGGTGATTGTATTGGAGAACCAGTGAAAGATATCAAGAAGTTTCAAAGATTGGTAGGAAGACTTCTCTACCTATCAATGATTCAGCCAGATATAGCTTATGCTGTTGGTATCCTTAGTCAGTTTATGCATGCACCAACATCCTCCCATTTAGAGGCAATTGAGAGAGTACTTAGATATCTAAAGAAATATCTAGGAACTGGGTTACTATTCAAGAAACATGGTCATATGAGAGTGGAAATCTACACAGATGCAGATTGGGCTGGAGCAATTGATGATGGGAAATTAACTAGTGGATACTGTACCTTTGTTGGTGGAGATTTGGTCACTTGGAGGAGTAAAAATCAAAGTGTAGTGGCCAGATTTAGTGCTGAGACCGAACATAGGGCCATGGTGCATGGAGTTGCTGAAGTGCTATGGGTAAAAAATTTGATTGGAGAGTTGGGTTAAAGTTGACAAGCATTTCATAAGGGAAAAACTTGAAAAGGGGGAAGTTTGTACTCCTTGCATCAGTTCCAAGGAACAATTAACTTATGTTTTTATAAAGGGTCTTCATTATTTGTGACATATTGAATTGTGTGACAAGTTGGGCATGATTGACATATATGCTTCAACTTGAGGGGGAGTGTTGCAACATGTAATGTACTAGTGTAGGGGTATTTTTGGTTTTTTCTCTCTTATTTGTTATAATCTCTCGCCCTAAGTATAAATATAAACTTAGGCGCCGCCAGCCTTACAATATACAGAATAGAATTACTTCTTCTCTCTTCCTTCTTCTATTCTCTCTTTTATCTTTGCTGAAATATAGGGTTCAAGCTGATGTGCCAATGAGACTGTACTATGACAACCAAACAACTATAAAATTGATCATAGTCCTATTCAACATGACAATACAAAACACATAGAAGTGGATAGACACTTTATCGAGGAGATAGCCAGTGGAAAAATATGCCTACCTTTTATAAGATTAGGAGATCACCTTGCAAATTATCTTACTAGGGGAGTCCCCAAACTAAAGTTTGATAGTAATTCAGGCAAGCTGGGCATGATAGAGGCTTGAGGGAGAATGTTGAGAATTCTTTGTGGGTAAGGACAGTGTTGTCTTTTTACATTCATTTGTATTTGGGTGCCTAAGGGCATAGTTATAATTAATCATACATAATATAAATAGTTGGTTTGAGGGTGTGAACAGCAAACACACTTTCTTCTAGGGGTATGGATGCTAGATGCTTTGGCAAAACAAGGGGTTGGGAGAAATTAAATGTTTTGAGCTCAACTATAATTTTCTTCGGATTTGGAGATAAGCTGTTTTATCTCCTATTGTACTTATATTTTCTTTCTTTTCTTAACCAATGAAGTTTGCAGTTATTGATAAAAAAACCATGATCCTGCAGACATGTCAAGAAGACAAGTTAGAGAGTGAAAATTGTTGAGAAATTGATGCAAGAATGCATGGTAATGTTAATGGTTGACTTGGAACATAAGAGGTCTTTGAAAATAAAGTAAGATTGGAGAGAATGAAGTTCTGGAATGAGTGGGGAAGACAAATAACAGGTCAGAAAACAGTATACTAGTCTCACCAGTATCAGGTTTGGATAATGTTAGCTAAGAAGCCATGCCACAAAATGGGTTTTGAGTCCAAATGCACTGGATCCTGAGCAGAAAAATTAGGTCATGGTCTGCAAGTGTGGCTACAATACAACTGGGGCAGGCTTGACAGTGCAATTCTCAATATTTTCATAGATGGGGTAGGTTAGGGGTCAGGCTTTTGTGATGGTATTGGAGTATCCAACTTATTTTCATCCTTAAAAATTTAGGATTAAAAAGAAATGTGTGTTTTGTATGAAGATTTCAAGAGTGTAATTAAACCTATTGTAATTTGGTGAACAAACTATTGGTTCTACAGTTACCTATTTATGTTTCTGACATTTACTTTTTGCTTATGTTTTCTAATTGCTATTCTTTCAGGCTGTAACTGGGATTATTGTCCACAGACACTTCCTATCACAAATAGATCCGGTACCTGTTATCATTACCAAAACTTGTTATTATGTACTGTTTCCTATACAACGTCCAAATTCTTGGTTCTTTTAGTAATTGAATGATTGGTGATTTTAAAATATTCTCTGCTTTTTGCTTGAAAGTATGCTTGAGGTGCATTGATTTTATTTTGACTGTTTGATGTTTTCTTTTGGAAGTTGTACCCTTTACCAAAGCTTAAGTGTAATATGCTTGTCTTATCATCATTGCTAAAACTTAATATGTGGGTTCTTCAGAGAAGAGTGAAAATAGATCCAAACTTGCCAAAGCTTATGCCTTAAGCAAAGAAGATTTTACAACTAATTCCTAGTTTTTCCATAAGTCATCAAAGGAGAAGAGTGAAAATAGATCCAAAACTTTAGCCCAATTAATAGCTCTAATCAACAGACAGTCCCAAACAGTAGCCTCATTCTTTTCTCCCAAACTCTCCATACTAAAGAAGCATAACACATCTCCATAAACTCTCCCTCTTCTCTTAGGCCACCTGAATGTTGTAGGGTTGAAAAGCCCCTTGATTTGCATAGGCATCACCCACCTGCACCCAAAAAGCCCAAAATTTTTTTCCCAAAGTTTCACAACAAAGGGGCAGGATATTAGAAGATGGTAACAACTTTCTTGCTTTGCAAAGGAAACACCATATTGGAGAGATATAAAGGTTGGGTCTTTTCTTTGAAGGTTATCAAAAGTGTTTAATTTCCCAAGAGAGACTTCCCAACAAAGGGCTTCAACCTTAGGGGAAATGGGCTTAGACCAGATTTCCTTCCAGAAGAAAGGCTGAGGGTTAGGGACATAACGCAACTGAGAGAAAAAAGAGGCACAAGAAAAAGGACCCAGAGTGTTGGGAGTCCAGATTCTAGCATCATGTTTAGAGAAATCCAAACAAACAGTGCCAAGGGTTTTAAGTATCAAAGTAGCTTGATTAAGCTCAAAGTCTGTCAGATCTCTTCAAAACCCCAGATTCCAATTGATACCAGAGGTTTGGGAGAAAGAAACAAACCTTTGAGTGGGTTCATTTTTAAAAAGGGAAAGAGAATACAAAGATGGATATAGGTCCTTAAGGGTGAAGTTACCAATCCAGGTGTCCCAAAAGAGAACCCTATCTCCAGTACACACATCATACCTGATGAGCTTGAGGAATTGGGGAAGGATACTGTTGAAGATTAATCAGTTTTATGGTGTTTTTCTGAGTAGATCTTTTATGTTAGTTGTTAGATAGGAGATGGGAACCACAATAGTTATGTGAGTCCAAATTTTATTATGTTTTTGAGTCTTATATATGCTGTTTTATGTTTTGTCGTCCTATAAGGGCATAGTTGCATTTGTATTGCTCTATTGTTTTTAGTATAAATAATAAGTGAAGGGGGCGGCTAGATTATTGATCTCTTTTCTTTTTAAGATCTCTTCTTCTCTTCTTCTCTTCTTCTCCTTCTCTCTCTTCCCTTTCTCTTCAAGAAACTACCTTTTCTATTCATATTTTTGAATTCAGCAGATTTCTACTTGGTATCAGAGCAAGGTTAGGGTTTCTTGAAGCATTCTCATGCAGCCCTAGATCGGCCGACTGCATGAAGTAATAAAGGGCTGATCGATCTGCTATAGATTGCCCAGTTCTTGGATTTTTTGGTGGGATCTAGTCATCAGGAAGGTGATCTACTGTTCGGCAAAAGAACTGGAGTACGGGGAAGAGTCCYAGAAAAGTTGGACTCTTTGTTTTTTATCTGATCTTGGGTGCCTAAGTATTGTTAGTTTTCTTTTGATTTTCTGAAGAGGGTGGTTAAGTTTCTGGATTTTTCTGAGCCTCCTGGAGTGATCGATTCACTCTTCTCTCTGTTGGGAGGCGTGGGGAGGAGAGAGATTTCTCTCCGGATAAGGTTTTCTTCTTCCGGAAGGGTTGGTTTCTGTGTGTGTGATATTAAATTGTTTTTGGAAGGTCTCCAATCTATTTTGTCTTATTGTTGAACTATTGTTTGAAGTAAGATGGAGAGTTGGAATACCGAGATGAAATCCACCGGTACTATGGGATTGGGTATTGGAGGTAATAGTGATATTTTTGGGTTTGGGATCATTACTATAGTAAAACTTGATGGTACAAATTATTTAGAGTGGGCACAATCATCCAAGATCGCTATTGGTGGCCGTGGAAAATTAGGGTACATCACTGGAAGGAGAAGAAACCTGATATAGACTCTTCCCGATGGGTGTAGGAGAATTACATGGTAATGTCCTGGCTGTGTAATTCTATGTTACCTCATATTGCAAAAAATTTCCTATGGGCTAATACTGCTAAGGAGATTT